AACTTAGTGAGGAGAATTAGTTTGGTGTTTCAATTTCAAGTGATATTTTAACATTTCAGGATGAATAAAGCTATTGGTGCTCCTGACTTTTCCCTGGTGTCCATGAAAAGCCATGCCTGAGGCATGGCACCAGCAGTGAATCCTTCTCTATGAGTGGCACACGGAGGTCAGTGCCTGCTCTGTCCTAAAGCTTGGCCTTCTTCTAGTAAAACATGCAAATAAAGTGGTAATTCCTGCTCTTCTTACTGCTGAATAATCCAATCTGGTCATGGGAGTAAATGCCCTAGTTTAAAGAAAACTTAGTTAATTTTTTTTACAGCTGTATTCCAACTATTTAAAGCTGGAATTGCATGAGTTCAGCAGTTCATAGATGTCCTGTATTCACGTCTAGAACTGAAGTAATGATTTATTTTCCTCTGTAAAGCTGAGCTTCACCCAAGAATACTGTAACTCAAGTTACAATAAAACACACTCAGCTTAATACAGTACTACAGTACAATTTGGGGGGAAAAAAAAAAATCACACTTTTTGATGACACAATGAATTAACCTATCTTTTTATCTTTCTTTTTTTCTAACAATTTTACAAAAAGATAAGACTGCTGTGGGAAATTATTGGACTACATTAATAAAATCTGTCTTTCATATAACTTCTGACTGGCAGCAGCCATTTTTGGAACTGAGTGTGTGTCAATCTGCCATCCTTCAAGGATTTTCTATCTTCTCTTTGGATTTAAAATAACTTCAGATGAAATCAGAATAAATTACATTTCTATTATAAATTTTATTCATGTTTGAATACTGCCAACAGTGCAATTTGAATAACTCTATCCTAATTTAAAGTCTGCTTTTGCTGACTTTTCCCAGTTTCATACTCCAGAAGCATCTACAGTAAAACCAACAGGAATATATTTTGGTTTTTAATTTGTTTGATTTATATAAAGCATAATTTGACAATTAAATAGTTACTAGTTTTAGAAGGCAAGACAATTACAATATATTTTTAAGGTGAACTAACCATGATGCTGTGTGAATTTTCTGTACTGGGACTTTTTGGCCTGCTGTTGTTTTTTGTTGGTGGTTTTTTGAGTTTGTTTTTTTGGGTTTTTTTTTTTGAGTTTGCTTAATTAGGAAGGTGATATCACTACTTCAGAAACATGTTGTATTGCTCTGTTTAAAATATCTTTTCTCAGAGATGGATTTTATAGCTACACAACACATTTTCTTCTCCCTCTAGAACTTATTTAAAGTATATACATAAAAAATTACTTTTCTTAACAGAACCTGCTAGTAATGACCTTCATATTCTCAAAAAAAAAGTGGCAGTAAAGTCATGCCACTGCACTGACTAGAGCACAAATGTTACTTTTAAATGCAGTCCTGCTAAAAATAAACCAGACATTGATTTCCAAAAGGTTGTAATTGCAGTGTAGCACAATGAGACTTTTTTGATGGCAATATCCACACATGCCCTATTGCTGGAAGCAAATATCACAAGCTGCTCATGACAGATTTTTAATTAACATGTTTTACCTCCTGTAAATAGAGAGGATGGTGTAAATCAGAGCACCCTCTCTGACTTAGAGGGAGTACTGCCAACATGCTTCAGCTGAGGATCTGTCCCCCAGACCTGCATGTTGCACTCTGGGTTTAATGAAAGTGTTGTGTGCCTTAGCAAGCAGATCTAACCACACAGGCTGTCTAATCTGGCTCCACAGAGGCCTGGTTTCCTTAATGCACAATGGGTATAGATAAATGCTTCCATTTATATACTAATGAACAATAATAATGTGGGGCTATACATGCCCAAGAACAGACCTTCCAATGTAATACAGAGTCTAACTTCCTAAAATATACTTATTTCACTGGAACAAAGTCAATACCCAGTGACCAAGAACTCCAGCTTTACATCTGGACAAAGAAGGACACATAAAGCAGCACAAGCTCACACCTGGCAGCCATTTACCCATTTCCTTATGCCATCCCTGTCCCTTTCAGACAGTTATTTCCCCAGGAAGGACATTTGCCAGCTCTGTAAAACCAGCAGCTCACACACTAAATCCTCAAAGTCCCTACATGAAACAATTAATCTGTAATGAAACCCAACATACCAACCTATAGCTTTCACCTTACCACTTCTGCACCCTGCATGTACAGTCAAGGAGCATTTATAGGCAGAAGGAGGGAACTCTTCCTCATACCTCTTTGAACCCCCACTCTGTGACACAGAAACTCTGACTCGGAGATTGCTGCCAGCCTGCCAGATCAGCAGAGTTCTTCTTTTGAAGCCCTTGTATCAGGCAGACCAGAAGGTAATGAAAGCAAAGAAACAGGCCTTCTGATGTGATTGGACTTCCAAAGTTTTATAGAATTTGGGGTCTTTAGTGCAAGGTTTCTGTTTCAGGGCAAGTTTGGGAGTGTTTGCAACAGAGACTCTGTGTTAAGCCTTGCAGGTCCATCACGTTGCCCTATCATTCCCTGTAACCTCCACTTCAGCAGAGGAAGAAGTGTTAAACATACTGTAGAGGCACAGCAGACTGTAAAATCTAGCCAGGTCTAGACTATTGCTTTGCCAGAACAAAGTGCAGTGGGGGCTTGCTGATGTCACAGTGCCAGCAAAACCTCTCCTGGATGTAAATATGTGTGGAAAGGAGGGTACTTATCAGAGATGTACTTAGTGCAGCTTCACGCATTCATTAGGATTCTGCCAGTACAAGTGGGGTTTCATTTGTGTAACACTCAGCTTCTGTCATTTGCTAGTGAGATGAAAGTAATCCAGCGAGAATTAGCCCTCCAATATCCCAGGCAAATTAACTAGCATCTTTGCCTTTGTTTTTCCTGTTTAATAGGGAATGTGTGTGGGGGGAGAGCATGTGTGTGTGTTAAAAACAGAAGACTAAAATACTCAGATGCTTATTAAGCAATGGAATTCAGTTTAACATGTCCTGCAGGGCTGTAACATTAGCATGTCTAATGAGATGGGCACAACACAAAACTCTAATGACATCCTATAAAATGGATCTGGAGACAGGTACATAAACATCCATAGCTAATGAAGCTATGTTTATGCTAGCATTTTTGTTTTCCTATGCACTCATCATATTTAACCTTATGTTGTTATGCAATCTGTGAATACATGAACTGGACTAACAGAAGATGTGCTCCAGATGTACATAATATATAGTGCTCTAATTGATAGAAAGCAGGCCATGGAACAAATTGGAACAAAATTTAAATTAAACCCCAGATATGCATAAAATATGAATTTTGAGTCCTCTGGAACAACTGTTTCACTTTACAAATATACTTTTATTTTTTCCTATCTATTTGCCACTATTACATGAGCCCAACTTAAAGGCTCTGCCCGTGTCCCCCAAAAATACACTCTAACAAGGGACAAGAAATGTGTCAAACCACATTTCTGGTGAAAGCAAAGGACCAAACTGTATCTTGTCTGATGTTAAAATCTGAAATTGTCAGTCATTTATGTGTAGAGGCATTACTCAACACACAATGTCATTCACACCCATTAAATGTCATCGAGAAACAATATTTACCCAACTGAAAGTGCTGTGTTATCAGAAACTTTACCCAACTGAAAGTGCTGTGTTATTGTTCTGAGTAGAACACCAAAAGCCTGGCTAGGAAACTGGACTGCCTAAAAGACTAACAAAAAATTAAATTCTCACTGATTTTCAGGTACACTAATAACACTAAGTTAATATCTTCTGGCTCCATCCTTATTTACCAAATTTAATATATTTACTCTAGTCTCCCTTTCTGACGCTTTTAGTGCCATCTGGTACCTACCTTCTCCAGCTTTCTGTGCACCACTGCTGATGACTACAAATAGGTGACACATTAAACAAGTTCATCTCCTGTTCTTAATATTAAAGATTGCCAGCCAAGGGAACAGAGTTAAGGAGTAGAGAAAGGAAACTTCTCGGAACTCAGAGAACTGCTACCATAAGCACTTCCCACCACTGTAGGATAACAGGAGATGATCACAACAGTGCTGGGTCACATTACATCAGTTTCATCTACATTCATTTACAAAGCCAACCTGAACAGAGAGAGGCTTGGACTAAACTAAAAGCAGTTCTTGCCCCAGAACTTGAATCAGCACCTGAAATAGCAAAAGAGTTCTGGACACATCTGCATAGCACATTTTGGCATTTACAACATGTAATTTCAGACTTGCACAGAAAGTAGGCAATCAGACTTCAAGATCTAGGACAACTGCCTACAACTTCCAGAGTTTACTATAAAAGAGAACCAAAATCCTTGGAAGCAATTATTTCTGCTGTAGTAATTAATTAACACCCTGAGATATGCAGCTCCCTTCTTTCACTGAATATTTGCCTAAAAACACTAGTAATGCTACCAATACTAAATAACTGCCTCACTTATGTAGGCTAGGACCTTGCCAAATTCAAGTGTCAATAAGTGTACTTAAGGAAGTTTGGACACACAAGGCTTTCCTGAATGAACTTAAAGGAGCGAAAGCTTGCAAATGGCCTCTTAAAATACTTCCTGAGACTTCCTCTTTTCTAAATTTTATTTAAAAGATTTCACAAGTAGCTAAAAAAAAAAAATAAAGAAGGGAAAAATAAAAAACTTGGATTCCTGTAACTACACTTTCTGCCCTTACTCTTTTCATAGTATTACACTCTAACGACCTTCCATTCTGACTGTTTCTACTTTAGGCCTTAAACTTGCAACAAGCTCCCAGCCGAGTCCTGTGGAAGACTGTGTGGTGCTCACACATGAAAGGCTGTGCAACAGCACCTCGTGGTGAGACAGACACTTGTTCTGTGTGTGCACCATGCCCAGGGCAACCAGGTCCTGCCACCGCACGGCTCCTTGGCACGGGGGCTGTACAGAGACCAGACTGAACACAACTCCACGAGGTGAGGGTGAAGCGATGCTGTCGTACGGGCAGTGGCGGCAACCACAGAGGTAACACCAACACCAAAGGGGAGGAGGGAGAACCGGGATTACCTGCTGGGCCTGCTGCAGCATCTCCATCCGCTCATGCAAGATCTGGCTGTCAAATTCGCGGCTCTGCCTCAGGATCTGCCGCCGCACCTTCTCCACCGCCGCCCGCAAATCCTCCCGCTGCGCCTCCGTCAGCGACTCGCTCGCCCGCCTGCCTGGATCCTGCTGCAGGGCATTATACAGCGTGGCTTCCAGCTCCTGGATTTTCTAATGCAACCCAAATCACACACAGACAGGCTGACGTTTGAATCCAGCAAGCGAACGACCCACCAAGAGCTAGAGGAGAAGGCTAGCAAGCGAAGGCTGAGGCAGGAGGGCAGGATGGACACGGACAGGTTGACAGAAAGCAGCAAGCGTGAGCAGTGAGGAGCATTCCACACAGAGTGCACGCAGCCTCCCGGCACGGACTGACACCGGGAAATGGCTCCTGTTCTAGCAAATCATCCATTCTTACGTTTAAGAAAGATTCAGAAGATAGGTCTGCCTGTGAACAGGAATCTCGCTCTCCCTCTCTGTGGCCCTGGTGCCCTGATATCCACGGCTCCCAGTCTACCTCACTGGCTTAGTTCCAAGTTGCCATAAGCAGTGAAGGAAGGAACACTTGTATCCACTCATCCTCATCCGTCTCTTGCTGTCTGCCAGACTCCTAACATGATTCTCATGCACTGACCAAAACTGCAGTACTTTACAAAGCACAGAACACAGGAGAACTTCACATTCACATGGAGAATTGTACTCTCGAGAGGAAAGGAAGGAATCATGGCAGTTTTCCCTTGATTACTGGGGTTAGTATCATCCTATCAAAAAACAGCATCCAGACTACCAATATTTGGATCAACAGCATCTGACCACATCCCTTTGGCCCTCATAACACCTTTGTGAGGTAGGTAATTCCACCCATATTAGTGATGCATAAACAGCTGCACAGAGAGGTTAAATGGCTTGCCCAAGGTCACAGTGCTAGAAATAGTACCTGCTTGCTTTTATCTCTGTTATCTGCTCTGAGCACTAGACCTTGCTTCTTCTCTGAAAACATTTTCCACATAAGAAACATTTACAATGTATAAATAGTGCTTCAGGCCATTGTATTTTGATTTCCCAAAGTCTCACTATTATCAAAGTTGTGTGTGCAGTTTTACCAATTGCTGGGTAATTCCTAATTATTGTTTAGCCTGAGAAAAGGCAAGGTTGCAGCTTCCCTTTTGCAAACGAGGAAGGGTAAGGTTGGATAGGATTGCACAGGAAGGCATCACATTGGAAGAAAAGGCATTCCTGAGTTAGGATAGGTTAGCAGCAGTAATACTTACAAATGCTTCAGGAAAATAAATATTGGAAAAGTTCTAAAGTAATTTCTGGTGTATTTTTAGCACTCATATTTTTTTGCATACATAAACTAGCTTTTTCCATTCCAGATGTACCAACAAGATGTCTGCATATCATAGAATAAAAAATGCAATGCAAAAATGTTACACTTGTAAGTACTATAATCCATTTCCTAAACTTTTGTTTAAGAAATAGTTGATTTCTAGTCTGGCAGGAAAAAAAAAAAAGTAAAAAAAAGAATCTTATTTAAAAGTAAAAGAAAAAAAAGACAAACACTGCATTTTATCAGATCTGTTCAAACAGAAAAAAATAATTACTGTTCTTTTCCTACCATGTATGCCTGGTCCAGAGCTTGCTTCCTGTAGTCGAGTTCTTCCTCTAAATAACCCTTCTGTTTACTGAACAGGTCCTGAGCAATAATAAAAACAAGGGAATGTTTGTTCTTTATCCTAATTAATGAAGAATCATAAATGGCATCATTTTTATGCAAGCTTTCCACTTGAAAGCAAAAGAAAATCCATAGCAAATGACCATATTCATCCTAAGGATATTTGGAATATCAAATTTACAATATTAGCACTTGAAATCTGTGTATCACATTAACAAGCTGTACCTGGAAAGCACAGACCTCTGCACCAGTGTACAAACCTGCCTGGACCTGACAGAAGTGCACAGAGCAGCAAAAGGTGAGTGGGGATGTACATGCATGTGGTTCAATAGCTGTAACCTACACAGGGCCAAGAGGGGGCACTTTATGAAAATATCCCATGCAAATATTACCCTTAAGGAAATAATGGGGCAAGCCCTAATTGCTGTTGTTTAATCTGTTCTTCTAGGGAGGAAATGTGAACATGCAGGGCCGCAGCTGGATTCTGCAGCACCATCCCGTGACCTGTTACTGAAGCTGAAGTAACAACTCGGTCTTCAGCTTGTACAGGCAGAAGGCCAACTTGAAACAGGTGAAGTGATGCCCAGAGAGGTTGAGTGACTAGCTGAAGAGCTGAAGAAGTTTTCAAGATACCTAAGATTTACGGGGATTGTTTACTTTTGTTAAAAATCAAACTCCTCAACTTTCAGAGTTCTTATATATAACCCCACAGACTGGGGTTTCCAAAACATGATGTTTCAACTAAGTTGTGGACATTCAAATGATTGCCTAATTAGTCAGGCCTTTAGAGTGTTTTGAGTCATAGAATCATAGAATGGTTTGGGTTGGAAAGGACCTCAAAGATCATCTTGATCCAACTCCCCCTACCATGGGCAGGGACACCTTTCCCTAGACCAGGTTTGATGACAGTAAAGAATATAAAATAGTTACTTATTGTTATTAACTTTTCTTTCAAAGCAGGTTTTCACACTCAAAAGAATTAGTAGTAGAACAAAAAGCAGAAAAGCCCTTTGACTGAATTTAGTATTTTCTATCCTTCTTTTTTCTAATCAACAAACTTTTTCATTTCCTCAACATATCGAATAAATGCCAAATTAAATACACGGGATTCTTAAGATCACTGATTGCAGCTTTTTAAATTAATATTTAGTTTTAATATTTTTTTTAATTTTATTTAAAAATTCAAATATTGTTGCTCTGGTTAGATTTACTGGATATGGGAATGCCTCAAAGTCACTTACTTAGCCAAATTTTGCCATCAGACATGAATGTGGACTTCTGACAACTTTTCTGTCAGTTGCCAGTGTAGAACTGGTGACAATAGCAACATATAAGACCAGTATTAGAGTATTCAGAGGAATAAGGTGTTATTTGTTCTCTGTATAATATTTATTATTAATTTATTTTGTAAACATGGAGTTATTTTAATTACCTATTAATGAATATGGAAGGCAAACCCAAAGTTTAAGTCAGACCTTGATCTTGGGGCTGGAATTTGGTTTGGAACAGATAGGCATCTATTGCTACGACAGTCATTTTACAATCTTCTGCTCCAGCATATTCTAAATATGCCACTGGTCCTGAAGGGAAAGGGCCTCCAGCAAGTCCTGTAGGACATATATTTCAGCCCTTTGTGGACATCTCCAGAACTCTGAGTTCAGAATTCTGAGTTCAGAACTCTGGAGAATGTGATATGGTATTAGACACCACATTTATGCAACTGAGTCACACCATGACTACCCAGGTGGCTCATTTTCTTACATGGATGAATTACAGCAACTGCAAAGCTGCTGTACAGGATGAAACACCACCATGCACTGTGAGTGCACAGCAAATGACAGGCCTGGTCCTGACTTTCTTACAGGTGTCTGACACCACTGAGGTAGACTGACTTGTCTGAGACTATAAAATGGGTCAGAGCTACCACCAGACCCCAGAATAGCAATGCAGCTGCCCTGATCATGTCACTTTTCAAAAGGGATAGTAAAGGCTGCCCACAGAAGGCAAGGGGGAAGGAAACAAGAATAGGACCTCAAACCCCTAACATAGGTTTCAAGGACAACTTAACCAGTGCTCAGTCCTTTTGAAAGTATCATGCTAGAATATAATTTCTCAGCTCATTGAGTTAATCATTATTAGGGATGCAGATTCTCAGACTGCTGTGCTAAACAAATAGATACAAGGTCTATCCATAGTAATATTTGAAAATATCATAGATAATAAGGGGGAAGATTATATATTAAGTTATAAACCCCCTGTTTTTTGCATTTTTCATTACAATTTCCATTTTTCTTTACAAAAGAATCTAGTATTTGTGGCCACTTTCCCTTCCTCAAACCTTTTTATTTTTCCCTAACTTAAAAATAAAGAAATACTAAATGTGGAAAGTATCTAATCTGTGTTAAAGTACAATTGGTATGACAGGTTACACTCAACAGAGAACAGAGTCTGAGCACTTCTCTTTTTGTTTGTGGCTCAAACACACACTTCTTCAGTGGCCCTGGGCAAATCACTTAACCTCTCTGTCTCACTGTCCCATTCTTTAGGATGAATGAAATGCTGCTTCTTTATCTACCTGTCAAAGGTGTGGTGAGGATTAATCAGTGTTTGGAATGCCATTTAAAGATGTGAAGCATTGCATGCATGGCAAACCAGTAAAACCAAACACTCCTTCTAAAATTGTTCAACATATGGAAAAATAAGGTCAGTTTATTCTTCAAGACAGAACTGCTTTCTGAGAAAGCATTCTGTCTTTAGACATGAAGGCTGTGGGGCAAGAAAGGTCATCTGGGTAAGAGGTCTTGACAGCTTGTCCAGAAGCTGAGTACCACAGAGCAAAGAAATACCCTTGCCAATTCAAACATGACCCCAACATTAAAAAGATGATGCTGCTGCCTGACAAATTAATACACAAAGAAAGCACAGAGACAATTTCACACTTTTTGGTTAATGTGCTCTCCAGTTATGCCTTTGTGCCCTAATTTGTATGTATTTTTGCTCTTTTTGTTCTATATAGATTTGAAAGTTCTGTCTCACCCCAAAGAATACAAGCAATAGACTGTTCTAGAAACCGCTTGCCTATTTTACCATGAAGCCATCTCTGTCAAGCAGAGAAAGGCAGCAAACCTGCCTGGGATGAAATATAGGCACATTCCCTTGAGGTGAGTTTTAGCTAAATGAGTTTTACTTCTAGCTATTGTTTCTTACCTTCTCATTCTCCAGGTCTAACATCTTCTGTGTCAGTGCAGCTTCTGTCCCCTCTATCTGTTTCAACCACTACAGCCGTGTGAGGAGGAAAAATACAAAATTATCAGAGATTTTGGAAAAGGTTCTACCAAACATTTTGCAAGTTTGTTGCCAGCACTTCCAGGCATATGCTCCTCCCCTGCTAGTTATTCACTCTGAAGACACACATGAATAAACAGGTTGTGAGAGCACAGGCAGAATGGAGGACTGCAGAGACACACTAAAGACTAACAAGTGGAGGTTGCTTTCCTATAGTAAATTAAATGGGGTTTTCCCCTGTAAAGTTCAAGAAACAAAACAGACTTGGGTCAGGAATGCAGAATCAACCTGATTGTTTCTTACTCAAATGCTTGTTGGCCTGATTTGTGAAACCATTGTCTCATTTCAGGCCTGCATTTTTCCAGAGGGCAATTGAAACAAAAGACAAGGTGAAAAACTCACCTTCATTCTGCACAGTTTGCTGCACTCTTTGTGGGAAGAGGCTCACTTGTAAAACATTGGTAATGTAGAGGGAAAAATAAAACAGACAGACAGATGGAAGCTCTTGTAGTTGCTGTTATGAATTCCTTACCATTATGGTGACATTCAAAACAATCAGAATGAAGAAAGGCCATTGCCTTCCAAAGGTAAAAATTACACATCGTAATAGCTAAATGCATGGATGCAAGTTCTTGCTTAATTACTAACCATCACCAGGATTATGTTAATATTTCCATTTAAGTTAACTGGAATGGATGGGAACGGTCAGTTCTGAATTATTAATTTCATTTCCCTACTGGTCTTCAAGAAGGACCCATGACTAGCTTACAGACAGCAGATTTGCAGCTGATAATTATTGCTTTCCTCAAATGCCTTGTTTACTAACACTAGACTACTCACATCTACTTTAAGTCTTTTGGTAACCTTTGCACATCAACTCCTTTAATTCTGTGTTTTGGTGAATTTATTAGGCCTCAGACTCAAAGGAATTAATGACCTACTATAATGCAAAATGACTTTTTTCCCCAAGATTTACCTAGGAAATTACAAACATGTAAACTGATGAAACTTATGAAATGTGAATTCATTACTTCATCATTTTGAACCTCCCATTATTTAAGAGATGGATGAATAAAATTGGATATTTGTTTTATCTGCTTTGCAGGTTAGCTTTCTACAGAAAAAAATTAACAGGAACACGATATTCCCCAGAGATTCTATTTTCGCGATTATTTTTTCTTCATTTTGAAGGTGACAAGCTGAAGATATTCCTCAGGAAAGCCTCACCACAGATGTTCAGCAAGACTGAGCACTTTGAACCTTTTCAATCAGTAGAAATGGGGAATCCTGAGCATCTCTCATAGCTACCCTCAATCAAGTGAAGGGCTACTTGCAAAAATTAGAGGTCTAATTTTTTTTAAGGTATGCAAATGATATGCAAAACTAAATATTGATTCTGATCTTTCTATGCCTGTTAGCCTTTCATGAACCAAGGGGCACAGGAGATACAAACAGTATTTTTGGGAGTCTATATGTTAGCCTTTAATAGTGGGGTTCTTCCTCTTTCATTTTCTGGATGAGAAGTGCTAAAATCATTACCTCCTAATGCCACAACACAGTGAAAACCATAGGGATTTGAGCTCTTTTCCCCATTTTTATTTTGCTGATAGCAATTACTCATTTAAATTAATGAGTCTTAAATTATCTAATGTAGATTATTTACTTCAAGTTATTTAGATAAGTAGATTATCAAAATTATATCAATTAGAGCAATTATTAAAATTGCTCAAGTTTTAATTTAAAATATCTGATTCTGAATTTCAACAATACATCAGGAAAGATTTAATGGAAACATATGAAAAGGATACACAGAGCTTCTTCAGAGAAATATGCAAGTCTTTCTTAGCTCTAAATGTCACCCCTTTCATATATAGATTATATTCTCTGGAAGCAAAGAACCAGCCATAGAGAAATGAGTGACCTGATTGATTACTTATCTTGTGCAAACTACTTTTTCTCTATGTACACTAATTTGCAGGGGAAAGGACCACTGACTACTCTGAGCTTTTTCAGTCATCCACAGGAATGAGGCCAAAAGGGACCATGGGCACCTTACAGAGGGCACCTTACAACTGCTCCCACAGCACTGAGGACACCAGCACTTCGGGGAATGAAGTCTCTTGTGTTAAGTTGATTTTTAGTACTCTATGCTAATGGAATATCTCCAAAACATGTTTTTATTTTAAAACTGGGTTTCTTTCTTAAGTTTGGTTTTACTTGTGGCATCACAGTCCCAACATTCATGTGAGGATGAATACATGCTCCAATCCAGATGACCTGAACAGAAAAGCCATGCCTCCCTGGTAAAGTTATGAGGTGTCTGAGAAGACACAGTCAGTTTTTAGCAGAGCAAAGTATTTACTGAATTCTACCTTTTCACAGAGGGAAAGCACAGTCCCAGCTTGGATTATTGCAACCTGCTCTTCATTTCTCAAATTCTAAAATACAAAAAGATGCATTTTAAATTGGATTAAAAATTCATCCTTTAACACAAGCAGTAAGTTTTAACCATGCTTCAAAAAATAAATCAGTTATAACATTTAGGATTATAGACATAACTAAAAATGATCCCATGACTGAAAGTTAAACCAAGGGTGCTTAGTTCTGCTCTATTTCGGCATACCAGCCCCACAACACTTTTTCAACAGATCATTCAATGAGACAGATCACTCAATGAAAATTAAGTGGTTTCAGTCAGGGATTTTGCCATTTTTTCCCTGTTTTTGCCAGGGTCTTGCAGCAAATGAATCTCACCTTCATGCACTTCAGACTTCCAATTAAAGAAAACAATGCAAAGAGTGCTATAGAAACCTCCACAAGACTTGCAACATAACATGCAAATCTAGAACTTAAAACTAGTATTATAAAGACCTCAATCTGTTAAATCCAGCTATAAACAGGACTCAGCTCTCTGGATGTTTGTGCCCTAAATGTGTGACTAAGATTTTATACTGTATTTAGCAATAAAGAGGAAAAAGGGGAGACAGTTATCCTTGTCTTTCTCCCAGTAAACCCACTCCTGGCAGTGACAGCCTTCACAGCAGAAGATGCTACTATTAGCATTAATGAGGGATAATTCACAACTTGGTCTGGCTTTGACTCCTTGTTTTGCATCACTTTACCTATTACAATGTCTATTTTCTGTATCATTCAGTCAAGATCAAATCCTATCTTTAAAAAAATAATCTTTTCACTACCATCAGTTTGACCAAAAATTTCATGTTGCAAAAGCCATTCCTAACCACTCATATTCTTCATAAAAATACAGGCATATATTAATCACCATGTGCACTGTCTTGGGTGTTAGTATCTGCTGTTGGAAAAATGCTTTAAATTAACCATGAAACTGGAGGTATATTTAAAAGTAAAAAAGAGTTACCCCATTATCTCCAAGAATATCTAGCTTCTTCATAAGTTCAGATATATTCACGTCCTGAAAAAGATGTTCAACACTTATTTTTTATGAAGTAGGTCAGAAACGATTTTTATATGCTACACTTTATGTACCCTTTATTCACGTCTGTGTGTGAAAAGACTTCAAATGTAAATAAGTGAAACACAGTTTTGCATCACAATTACAAAAGTAATTACTGATACTTTAAGACAAAACCGAAAGTCACTCTCAATTATAACAAGCAACCTGGATGTCAGTGCATGAGGGCAGAATGTCCCTGTATCATTCACACTTATCATCCTGCTAATGTGTGTAGAGGAAAGACCAAAACTGATAAACAGGTTTAAAGGATGTAAAGAGAAAGGGTTTAAAAGACTTTTTTTGTTTGTTTCTTTGTTTGGAGTAGAGCATCAACCACATAAGCTACAGAAGTTAAAAGGGCAGAGAGTGTGAACAAATTGCTAAGGTTTGCTTGGTGGATTACTTTTTATTTTCTTTGTTAAACAAAACCATGGAGTTTCAAATCAGCCTTACAGTGGCAGAAGGGAATGTGCACAGTGGGCTGAACATCCTACTCTAAACATTTATCAGCTCATAATCATCTTTCTGATTAGAAAGCCGAATTTTTTCTGCCACTCATCTCTCAGATAATAACTGAACAACCCATCCTTATTAAGGCTCAGCCACTGAAATAAAGAAAACTACTCCTCTGATTCAAAGAAGAGGAATAAATTCATGGAATCACATAATCATAGAATATGCTGAGCTGGAAGGGATACATCAGGATCACTGAGTCCAACTCCTGGCCCTACACATCATCATCCCCAGGAGTCACACTGTGTGCCTGAAAGCACTGTCCAAACACTTCTTCAACTTTGTCAGGCCTGCTGCTGTGACCACTGTCCTGGGGAGCCTGTTCCAGTGCCCAACCACCCCCCAAGTGAGAACCTTTTCCTGATAAAATTCACATGATGTCTGTAATTAACATTGTGCCAGGATCAATTCCTAGGCCCCAGAACTCTATTTAGTTGTTGGAAAGGGTCATGGAACTGTTTAACCAGAGATAATTGCATTCTCCTGAACCATCCCAAGCTTGGTCTGCAAGTTAACATGGACCAGGAATCTTTTCCACTGACAGCCTGCATGCAGCCATGCCATCTGAAGGCAGCAAGTCTTGAGAGCATGGGAATAGACCAGTCCTTGTTATTCAAAATGCTTAATAAACATACATAAAGCAAAAGAGCCTTGTTAAATGCTGCCACCCTCAACTTCTACTCATATTCAGCAATTAGAAAAGGGCAACATGTCACAGGGCCACATGTGGTGTTCAAGTTTTCCTATCCTGAGAGGTCCTCTCCCTCCCAAAAACTTCAGGGGTGTTCCCAAATGCTACATGCTAGTTATGCTCTGCACATCACTAACTCTGGGATGGTGCAGATCCTAATACACTTGTGTTTGGATCAATGTTAAAAAAAAAAACCTATTGATTATGATCAGCATTGGCAATGCTGAACAGAAACTTCTTTAGCCAACAAGTTACACTAGTGAAGAAGGGAATTTATTAAGTCATGCAAGTTCTTGCATCTATTGAGCCAGAAATAATCGTTCTAATAATTTATTTCCATATGATGCCTGAAGGAAGAATCAGAAACCAAATCAGATTTTGCATCATTCTGGAATCTACATTGCTACTGATGGCTAATAATTTTGAAAAGCATTGAAAACAGATAGAAGGTTAACTATTTCAGTCTGTCCATATTAGATGACTGCCTCACCTTCCAGGTAAGTGAACTGAAAGGCAGATTGAAAAGAATTCACCTGTTAAGGCATATCACAGATGACAGTGGAAAAAAATGGGAATTATGGATTCTGGTACACTGTACCTGCTATGGGCAACATGCAGATTAGAATAACAGGTAAGCTAAAAGTGGGTCTGGCTCTGTTTGTAGGTGATATGCTAACTGAGGACTCTTGGTGTGCTTTGGGAGATGAGTATCCAACCAAATCTGTAGGTAAAAAGCAGCTTTTAACTCTTTTCTTTCAGACTACTCAGCTTCCTAAAAATATGCAGGGACAATTTCTGTTTATTTCCTCTAGAGATCGTACTGTGCTTATTAAAGCACTGAACAGCAACAAGCCTCCTGTAAGAGGATTTGTAAACACAACTAAAACTTCGACCATAAAACACTAGTGGGTGGCACTGAGATTATGCTTTAGTTACTTGTACAAGTTACCCTGGCCTGCTGTGCAACGTTACTGGCAACACAAGTCTGAATTCTATCTTAAGTGAGCCAGCATGCAAATCAAGTTGCATAAATACCCTGTTCATGGGTCAACAGGAGTGAAAAGAATAATTCTTGCTTCTTTATATCTGAAGGTAATCAAGGGAGATTCTGATGTTTATCTTGTTCTGAAAGAGTTGCACCTATCTGAATGAGTTCTGGGTCAGGCACCTCATGCTTCAAGGTCCTGGCAAATAACTTAAGCATATTCATTCAACAAATAAAAGCCTTCACTAACTTGGGTGTAAAATAAGGACTGAATGTTATATTTCTGAACTCAGATCAAGACGTTTAATATCATGAACCATGTTCTGTAGCAAGCCTACAATTCAAGACAGTGAATCACATCAATATCCATATTCTTCCCTAGACCATATGTAAATTATCTTGATTGACCAGCCTTCAGTTTCACTGAGGAACTCCTGACATGACAAGATCATATTCTTATGAAACTATTTTCCCAGTTAAAGCTACTTTTTCTTTTTTCTTTTTTTTTTTTTATTTTTAATTTTCTTCCCTGGTAAGTGTCAAACCATTTGTTTGGATAGCAGACTGGTCATTCAAGAAAGGCTCCTAGCCATCCAGCTGTTTCTAGTGCTCTGCATATACCTTTATTCCTTCCTGATGGCAGAACAGTTGAAGTGCACTTCCATTGTTTTCAGGGAAGGTGGTTATATGAAGATTAAATGCTGGTGACCTTCGCTCTCTCTCCTGAGGAAAGATTTGTTTAAAAACAACATTTGTGATTATATGTTAACATTTATTCCCCATCTTTACAAGAGATACTTGTATATGAAAAAGGCAGATTCCCGCTCTCATTCCAAATGATTCTATTTTCTCTTACTTTTACCATATTTGAAGCATTTTGGCTAAATATAAACATAGTGTTAGCTTCCAGCTAATTCCATGCACACAGTTTCTGCAAAGCTACCTGACACTCCCCAGCTGCAGAACCCTTGCCACACTGACCCTAAGTGACTGGAGCCCTTAAATACTCTGCAGGTTTTTATGTCGATTATAACCTTATTTAACTATTGCTTTATTTCATGGAACAATAAAACAATTTAGAAAGAATCTGCAGGGGAAAAAAAAATTGAACTCCATCATTAAATAGTATTATTGAAGATTTTCTCACTAAAATTAAATCTGTGTGTCTGTACCCTGTTTATTCTACAGTCTGCCTTTTCCTATTAGAGCATTTAAAATCCCCATTCATATTCATCCCGCAAGCCAGGAAGTCAGAATATGTTGAAAGGCAGCACTATTCTACAGTTAAAATGTTCTTTGTGCCAAAATAAAAATTATAAGTTCCCATTAATCTAAAGCTATAGTATATCTAAAACTTAACTAGTCCATGTACATGACTTCTATGCATTTCTTCAAAATACCAACCTATTATTTCTTCAGAAGGCAGAAATAACATAAAATAATTAACAAGCATTTTTACCTAAACTAAATTTTAATGTGCCTGTGAAAAATGACTGGACTGAAGGCTCTGGGTAACAAAGGCATTGGGTCATACTCTGAATTCTCTCTGGCAGTGAGAACATGAGCAAGAAACACCAGATTTCACCTCTATATTACAAGGGGACACTCTGGCACCATGAGCTTCATTTTCTCAGAGAGACCACCACTACAAATATTTTAGTTCCTATGAAAATCCAGGTATTACTCCATTTCCTAAATCACAAATGAGGTGTTCTAATTGATATGGCAGGCAGACTGCATCTGTTCACTTAAGCAAGTTACAAAGCATGGCAAATCTTGTTCATTAATTAGGTTAAACCTAATTTGAAACTAGTGTAGACAGAAAAATCTCCATAGTCTATGCAATTTTCCCTCTCAGAGGTTTTGTTTTAAATAATATTTACATCAACAGTCTAATTCTGAAATGGGCTTAAATAATGATTTAGCTGTTGTAAACCAAAACCAGAACTTTAATTCTTACCCAAATTCAGTTATTATTTTAGATATTGTTAAAAATTCATCAGTTGCTATTGCATTCAACTCACCTAAACTTGCTTGCTTTAATTGATAAATAAATGATTATGTTTTATATTTTACCTAATTTTAATCTGAAATAATTTAACTACTCTAAAAAATACTGCCCTGACTACCAGAAGAATTGATGGTTTTCCTAAAGCATTGCATTGTCAGTCACATTTGTGACTACATGCTTGTCTACTAAGGAAAAAAATCTTTTCATGCAATCACACAGAAATACTTCCATTGTTATTCTGTGAAAGAAGTTTCCCAAGCTTTGGCACATGACAAAACCTTACTTGACATACTGAGCTGCTTTTGATGCGATTCTTCCATTTGAAAAATACATTCATGAAGGATATATTGAAGAATATTTTTTCATTCCTTGAGAAATATTTTTTTGGACAGTTTTACTTCTAAGAACAACCACACTTTAGGAAGCAATTTCTAGTGCAACAGCCAATTCAAATTCTAAATTGTTCTCTATTTTACCTTACAGTCCTTTAATGAAATATAAAGATATGTATTAGAAAGCATTTATATTTTTCTGTACTGAAATTCCAATAACCTAAATTCATAATTTTGAGTATAATGGGCTATGACATCAAAACATATGGTTGATAAAGGATGAAAAAAAAGATTAAGAAATGTCAGACAAAAAGAACGTCCACATAACATGAAGACATGACATTTTCATCTTTATCAGAGAAGTTACACATGCCAGGATTTTTGGTGAAACGTGCTGGGTGATAAAAATGGAGGAGTGACAATGACAGGTTTCTCAGAGAGTTTATTCTAAGCAGTGTTAAGAATGCTGGTGAACTTTGAAACTGAACAATGTGTCATCAGGCAGTAAAACCATGTGACAACTGTGCATCACACACAGATACTTTACTGTTACTAAATTCAACATGAGCCTAATTTGTGAGGGGATGAGAACCGCTGCTTTTAATTCTAGTCACAGGCTGCATGTTCAAAGTGTTAATAACAAATAATGTTGCTTATTTCATTTATGCAAAATATAGAATTTGTTTCCTATAGGCAACATATTAGTTGAACATACAGAAGTTGTATTTCTGCTTTACCCCTTTGGCATTGCCAGAAGTTCAGGGTTTTTTTACATTTTTCATTGGCTGAAGCCAATTATTTCCAGTCCATGACCACTCTAAACCATGAGAAAATGGATTTAAGGTAAGAGGAATTCTTTGGAAGCTGCTATCAAAATGTGTTTTTTTTAAGATAAATTTACTTCACATGAATGTTGTCAATCTTAAATCAGCATGATTTAAAGCAATTATACAATTGATGTGATGGATGTGTCAGATCTTTAGTCAGATCACTGCATGCAAGATGTGAGAAGGTGTGTTAATTTAATCAGTGCCAGCCAAGGCTGTAGTATACATACCAAGTGATTTTACATGCAGGAAAGGAGCAGTTATGGAAATGAAACAAATAAAAAAGGCAAAATATTGCAAAACAAAATATTTTATTAGATGAAAACCAAACTATATGCAATTTATATTAGCTATATTACATCTTTATAAACATTAGTGAGCATTCTCTCCAAAACATATTAAGGCAGTGGCATCAATTTCATTATCCCAAGATACAACATTTAAAAAATAGATACCTAAGTGACTTCCCTTAAACATGCACCAGACATCAGTAATCTTTACAGGAATTTCAGCTTGGGTTCAAACATAATTTCTGCTCCATTTGAGAGTTTGCAACAGAGAGAATCTCTTACTTCAAGCTCTAGCACTCTGAATTCTAACAGCTCATTCTGGTCTTTTGCATCTTGCATCTCATTCTTCAGCTGATGCTCTTCTTGTTCCATTCTGTAAATCTGTGAGACAAAGACAACATGGTAACAGCCTGTTAGCACTAGAAAAGACACTGCACAGAGTTACAAGCCAGGGGTTTAGACAAAACTGTTAATTATTTCAATTTTTCATTACACATCAGGCTGTGCCTTAGAGATAAAAAGAAACATCAGAAAGTATTGCTGAGAACTATCAGCAGAAAATGGTCAATGTTCTCTTGGAGTAATAATCTGGCAGTAGCACAAAAGTGATACGAATAGAATATTGCATCTAAGTAAGTTAAACGGTAAAAGTTTTCTTTTAAAATCCATCAAATGAAACTGAATTACATTAACATTTGGGTAGACTGTTCTCATTGTCTTTGCCTAATTAGATATCTAGTTTTTACAGTATATGAAAGACAATAATGGAGTGGTTTTAATGACTGCTTTTTAATTTGCCAAAATTTTGCCTTGGGGTACTAACAATGACAAAATAGAAATTCAATACTGGCTACTAATTACTCCAACTAAGAGCTTTGGTCTGCTGTCTAGTTTAACTGGGTGCTCTTTTTCTTTGTACAAAACTAAACAGAAGTGTAACATCTGGCATAATGTACTTCAACATTTACAGTGCCCGTGTAAGTTACCAAAAAAATTAAACCTGGCTGTAGCTACTTTTAATCATGATTTTTTATTTGGTTATCTTATTTGTACAGTATTAAGCTACTAATTAACAAATTTAGTTCTTTGTCTTCCTGAGTTGACTAGCCAGCTTTCCTACCACTATCAACAAAGAACAATGCAGATGCTCAGTTCTGAGTATCTCAGCCAGTTAATATAATAAATATATTAAAATTAATATAATTAAATCAATCAGTATTACTTAATGTATGGAAACACTTGAAAGGAGAAGGCAATTTTGTTAGTGACTAATAATAATAATAATAATAATAATAATCGTCATCATCTTTGTGTAACTGTGTATTTTGTTGGACATTAGAAACCTCAGCCAGCTGGGGATGTACTGGTGGCTATCCATGTAACTCCACAATAAAGAGCAGCTTCGATTCCTGAAGAATATAAAGGTATATTGGTACTTTAATCAGAGACTTTTATTTAAATTTCTGTTTCTGGTGATAAATAAAGCAATTTCATGCTTATTTGATAGTACTTAGTGCACTCAATCCTGCGAGGAAGAAGAGGATTGAAAATACATATGTTTTGTTAAGCAAGACGAATGACTACAATAATTAGATTTCAGGCATCATTTTACATTCAAGTATAAAATGGTCACTCATTGAAAATGAAGCGATCATAAATATTTCAAGGATGTACAGCATTTTATATTACAGTGAAAATAAAAGTTCTTTCCTTTCCTGTAGCAGTCTTTTGTTTCCTAGTATGTTCCAGCTAGCATGTACTTTAAAATATTTACATGTAGCAATTGTGGGTCACCACAGTTATATACTTCAAGTCATTTTTAAAATATTTCTTTTCTCAGCTGAACTCAAAACTACTGCTTTCTATTGCAAACGTTTGGAAACTTTCTTGCAAAATCATCCCATTTTATGTAGCTCAATACAAATCCAAAGAGAGAACTGGAAGGAAATTATGTAGTTACCCCAAAAAGAAAGCTTCAGCAATACAAAGTTAATTATCCTCTGCTAAAAATCTGAGAATCTGGCTAATACACAGAGCTTGTGACAAGAAATTTAAGGCTGTCGGGGAAGCGGTGCAAGACATCGGATACTCCATTTGAAACTGTATTTCTAATTAATTGCTTTTTTCACCAAAACACTTCTTTTCTTTTATGTTTACCCATGGCTTCAAAAGGCCTCCTCAAATATCCTGTTAAACAACCAAGCTACAAAAATTCATGGCCAGCCCTAGCTGAACATTCAGATTTAATGGATTGTAACAGCCAAACTTGCTCTTGTTTCTCCTGTAGAGAAAACTATTTACATAACCTTGCTCATTTTGCTCTAAAAAAGTTTATTAAAACTATATCCAACACTTAATATGTCATATGAACTCTAGATCAAATTATCTTCTAGGTTCAAGGGATGATTTATTTAAAATCATGACTTTACTAAAGTATTAAGGATGATACATTCTTTTTCAGGGAGATATTTGCACACTGATGTTGCTCAAGGAATCAGTGAAATCTGGATATCTCAGCCCATCAAATATCCTTGAAATGTCAATCTGAAGTATTATGATATTACATTCAGTCACATTAGCATTTTTTTAAACATTTAGTTTTTCTACTTACTGTGTACTACAATTTCATACCGTACTGCTCTCTCTCCCTTTTTCCACTCATACAAAAAAATGCATTTCATTTAATAAATAAGCTCTTCATGGTTGTGATATTATAAGAATAACCTACTTAGTACTGAAAGGCATTACACTTGTCCAGAATTTCTGAGACAAATGAAAGAAATGTTGAAAATAAAATCTGGTATCCAGTTTAGTATCTGAGTAGCATTTTAATAAGCTCAAGAATGAAGAGTTGCATGCACAGACTTAGGGTGGATATCCCAGTGCATGGATATGATAAACATACCCACATGGTAAGGTTCAACAGCTGTATCAGACCTGCAGCTTCAACTACTCCAGTTCACACAAGTAGAAAAAACAGATCAATCTGCTCTATTGATAATAAATTTCTGCATCTTTCTTGATGGAACTACACTTTCTGAGAAAACCTGAACCCTTGTATTTACACAACAGATCACTGAGACAGTGAGCATTCATCCATTTGGCACATTGCATACACCAATACTTTTAGATTTATTATTTACCATTATTAATATGTTGTAAGAATTTCTTCAATAATATAAAATTTCTTATGCATGCACCTCAGTGTACCATGCAGAAATGGATTATTAGTTTTGTGTTACTTCTGGGGGAATACTGGCAGGTCCAGCCAGAAGAGAGATTAAGAAAAGCCATTGACGGTTACTTTGAAATTACACATAAATTATTATAAACCAAGCTTCACATAATTTTTTAACAATAAGCTTCTAATCTCATGCTCTGAAATTGACTTTAGGAAATTTTCTGGAATAATACACTTGGATCTTTGATCTTTAGATTCATTATTTCCTTTATGAACACACTTTAGGAGCTGGCTCCCTGAATGAACATTCCACAATTATTATTAAATCATCATCACTACCATGACCATCTAAATGACAAAGCAATAATAAAATATTCTTTTAAAAAAATCACATAGTGCACAAAGAATTCAGTTTATCATCACAACCATTTATTTTGTTGACTGTAAACACTAACAGGTCAGGCAAACCAAGCAGGTGCTAGAGCTCCCAGGAAGACATTGTGATCCCCTCTGTGGAAAGCTAATGCTGAGTGTACAAACCAGCCCACTAGAAACAACATCACAGTGCTCCTTGTCACATCCCTGTTCACCTTCTCAGGATTACTAAGAGATACAAAGTTGAAAGCGTGGCTCTGAATCTCAAAGTGACAACTCATTAAATTCTAATTTTCAGATATAACTTTTTGACATAATGCTCTTGCAGAAAAATCACAGAAGTAATTCCTTACATGGGTATCCAAATTAATTTATCTTATTTACATACAAAATACTTACATTATACACTGTACAGTCAACAATCTTATTAATGTTTTCAACTACACAGCAATTAGCCCACATCTTTCTCATCAACAAACCAAAACAGCAGCAGTAGATGCTTGAGAGGTCTTTGGTTTCATTTATTCTTCCACAAGTTCAGTGGGCCATCATTTTTAGATTGATAACATATTCTCAATTTTTAGTAATGTTGTATTTACATGAAATTCACTATGCAAATTGCAATTTGGAAAGGTGGCATACATTCTTTTTGTCCTTAATTTGAATATGGTCCCCAAACCTTTGTATTGATGCAGAATCTTACAGAAAATTTTTCTTACAAAGAATAAACCATAAAAATAGTGTTATTATTCATTTAGCATTATATGTAGGTTGTGTTCTGCTACAGGATCATCAGTCTTTGAAATGTATATCTATAGCTAGCTCTATCTTATTACTATAAGCTACCTTTAAACTTAAATTCTTATTTGAAACAATAAAGCATAAAATAATATCTCCCCAATGCTCATAACTCTTAATCAGACTTCCTGAGGGCCCTAGACAATATTAAATATGCATCAGTAGACACATCTTTGGTCAGTATTTACATATATTATAGATACTGAAGCATAAGGCCTGATTTTACTTTGTGTGATGGTTTGGGAATCTGAAAGCAACTGGGCCCTCTGAGGCTTTAAACCCAGGAGAGTAACACCACAAGTAGCTTCCAGCAACCTGACAGACTAACAAAAGGGAAAAGAGAAAGCCCTTCACCAAATGACAATAGGAACACAATGTGCATGTATGCGTGGTTATTTTGACATTATGCTTTAGGGTATTATGTGTCAGAAAATGTGTCTGTAATGACATTTTCTTAGACTGCAAAATCCTTTCCTTTATTTAAGCATTCTAATGCTGCAGTAGCAATTAAGCTGCATCATTCACACCAACACACCAGTAAGCAACGAAGATGGCAAGGGCACCACTGCACGCAACGGAGAACATGATGTGGTAGAGGACATTAATAGAGCCTTTTACCTGTCCTTTCTCGATTAGAGCTTTCTCCAAGTCCTCAATTTTTGCCTGACACCTGAGAAGATCAGCTTGAAGTTGTTCACGAGTCTGGGGGGTGGGAGGGAGAGAGGGATAAATCAAAAGTAAATACATTTTCTACTACTTGTGGGCTGCCTCATCAGCTTTTAATGTTTTTCTTTACAATAGTTGCTTTTGTGTTTGTGTTACAAAATATTTGAAGCTGTCAGTTTAATAAGATTTTTCTTTCCTAGCTTAAAAAGACGTTAACATCCCATATTCAGTGCCAAAGTTCTTAGTAGGGGAAGAAAAAAATAAATGTAGAAATGAAAGAGCTCCAACAATCTACCCATAAGCTTTAGTAACTTAGGGCAATTGGGAAAAAAGGGACAAGGGAGAAAGAGAATTGCATTAAGTACTTAAAAAGGCCTTTAGGTAAATGAAATATATTGACCAAAACCAATTTACATATCCCATAAAGAGCTGGTCAGTTTCCTCATTTACACAATTGTTAGACTCACCCCTACACAACAGTGGGCAATACCCCCTAAGTCCAGTAATGCCCTAAAGGGGACTGGATCCTACAAGGTACTAAACAAAACAGGATATAAAACAAAGTATGTTTCTGGAGACCCTCAGCCACTGAAGCTCCTTGAGCTACCACAAGTGTTTTTTCCACTCTACTTCAGGTATTTTCCAACCCAAGCAGTTTAAATATTCCTACAGGGATTTTCTTCCACATTTTTGGGTCCTTGCTTACCTTAAGCCTCATCTAAAAGTAATAGGAAATGTTCATCCCACCAAAATAAACCATGCAAAAAGCTACTTTCTGACTCACTCAAGAGATGGATTTGCAGGGATGTGCCAAAAAAACCAAACTGCCATTAAAAAGAAATAGCAACACTTTCCAAGTCTAGAAAAAGTACAATCTGTAAATTCCTGCAAAATAAAATTTTAAAAAGCCCATGAAGGCAGAGCGAATATATAATGTCCTTTCATAACTGGCAAATAGATGACTGCCCCTGAAATCCCTTTTTAATAGTAGATGGAGCTATGCCCCCCATCCCAATTCTATCTTGAGAAATGATCTTCAAAGTCTTCATAGCTTTCCTTGGCTAAGTGTCCTACTTAAAAAGAGAGTCTCAAAACTGACTAGGCTTTTCTAAGATGCTAAGAACTCTTAACAAGTAAAGCCATAAAATAGTAATTCTACCATTTTAAGAACTGTATTTCACAGGAAAAAATAAAAAATAAGTGTAGGGTGGTTGAGCACTTTCCCACCAATAGTTTTTAAACACATTAAAATCACTGTTCTTCTGCATTCTTAGCAACACACTGCAGTGGCACAGTACAGTGAAGGCCACATGTAGCAAGGCAGTAAAATGTAATAATTCCCAGTATTTAATATGTTTCTCCATTTTTGGGGTTTGGGGAAGTTGTAGAGGAAAGAAAGTCAGGGTTTTTTTAACTGGAGACTCGTGTTCCACTTGGTGTCCATAGGAGCCCCCACTTCCTGTTGTGCAAAACTGCTTTCCAGTGAGCCAGAACCAATATTTGGGTCAGATTTTTGATTCAGATTTGGGTCAGATTTTTCATATAGTCATATGATGGAAGTACCTAAGTACTTGTAAAAGCCAAGTTACAACCAGTACTCTATCCTGTGATTCATTTAAAATCCATCATGTCGCTATCCAAACTGCAGGTTCAAATGGGTTATCATTCTCACAGCATAGAAATCTTTAATATATTACACATGCTAGAATAAAGTATAATCACCTCTTTGCTCTGATTGCACCATATGAATCTAAAGTATCACCTTATTTATGATACCCTCTAATCCTCAAAAACATTGGGCTTTGCATTTCACTGACCTACAAAGATACCTTCTGCTATTACAAATTGTTTCAGCTTTTTCTATTATTTCAGAGTTAAAAGAATTTCAGTTTAGAAATTACCCTTGCTTCTCTCTCTGCATCCAGGGTTCCACCAACTTGTTCTTGGAGCAATGCATATGCTCTTTGCAAAGCTTGATACTCTCTTGTTAGCTGGCAAAACCTGAGCTCAGCTTCTTCTTTAGGTGTGCTCTTAATGAAGAGGAGGAAAAAAGTGGGTTTGTATAAATATATATAATAATGGGTTTGTCTGCATAGAAGACAGATTTGCAAATGTAACAAACAACACAACTCATACTCAGTCTCAAAGTTTAATAAAGGTATAAAATCCTGAAACAAGCGGAAATGAAAGGAAGGGGGGATGAAGAGTAACTGCATCTACCACAACATAAGGACAGTGTGAGTTGCCATGTAAGACAGCAATGTACAGAAATGGGAAAACTGTCTGGGGAAAGATGAGAGGATAGAGTTTTGTGAAACACTGTCTTCAGCAACTCCAGAGCCACAGGGGCTTCAGAAAGTATTTGCTCTATTTTTCATGCAGTCCATCCTTCCCTCCTTACACTTTTTCTCTACAATGCCAGGGTAAATCTCACTGACACAGAAGTTACATTTCAAAAACCATGACATATTCTTAAACTTATTCTTTTATTATGAAGTATTTTCAAAGTCTTTATTTTCCTTGAGCTTTTAGCCACTAACTTTAACACTTATAAGGTCTTTCCTGCACAGCTGAGGACAAAAAATGTCCTTCGCTTTAATTAATTTTTGCTCCAGGAACTTGAGTTCTAAGGAAAAGAGATTATAATATTATTAGATATTAAACCTAGGAAAAAAGGAAGCTTCTCCTGACTGAGAAGTATTAGGCAGAAGTTAGTGAACAAGAAAGAAAGATGAAAAAGAGCATCTAATTCGTGCTTTGTGCTCACACACGCGATCTTCCAAAGTAGGCCAGCAGCACTGTATATCACAGAGCTGAGACAAAACATGTCACTGGGTATTTACTACCTATGATCATTTAAGCCTTCATGAATTGCAAAGGCCTCTCTGAGTATTGTGAGCAAAGAAAGAAAATCCCGATTGTATCAAAACAGTCAAATAAATTATAAGGTTGAAAGGCAAACTATTGTCTAGTAAGTACTGACTTTTGGCAAAGCAATGTGCCTATTCATTTTCTTTTGACTAATAAGAAAGATTTTGAGGAAAAAAAAGTAGTTCTCAGCCCAATATCTGCCAAATCTATCAGGCAGAGTATTATCTTATTAATTTTATTGCAAAGTGAGTATGTTACCAGACTTGGAAAAAAACGCAAAGGAATTATCTTCCAAATCTTTCACAGTTCATGTGGTACAATAGCTGAAAGTTTGTATTTATACTTCAAGAAGTAGAAAGAAGAATGAATCAGTTACCACTTACATCCTCCAAATCTTCTTCTGGTGTTGCTGGTGTCCTGTCTGTTTTATCTGTGTTGTATGAAGTTACAGAAGAAGTTTCTGAATCAACAGATTCTTCATCAAATCCAAAAAATGTCTCCACAACATGCCTCTGAAAAATTAGGTTTTTTTAGTTACTAGCAAAACAGATGAAAAGTTCCAATGACCCAGTAAGCAGTGACCAAGGTCTTCTCTAATGATTGCTTTAGTATTTAAGAAGCAAGAAAGGTTCCAGTGCAAACTCTTGTTCTCTGATTAAGTTAAGTTACTTGTTCAACATCACTTGTGGAAGAACCTCCAAAAACAGAACTGAACATAGAACAGAGATGAGGTAAATACCAAAAAAAAAATGCTTTGGCAAAACTGTAACACCTAATTACCAAAATCACACAAGTCCTTACAAGATTCACAGCAGAGAAATCCAATATCTATTCCGAAAAAAGTAAGCCAGTGCAGTGCAACATATAAGATTTGCAACCAAAAGGGAAAAAAAGTAATTGGAGAAAAATAGTATCTAGTGGAAATGAGTACAATATCAGTAGTGAAAAATGTGATTTTTTATATAAACATAGTCATAGAAAGCAGCAAATTTCCACGGAAATTCAACTGTTAACTAGAAAAAAGAGGTTCTTAATTGTTATTAATAAATAGAAAGCATAACTTCTTAGACCACACAAGTATTTTAATAATCCAACACAATTTCAGAGAAGGAAGAAAACTGAGAATATTTTTTTAGAGGGTGCTGCTGAAAAATGGACTCAGGTTATGAAGCAGCCTAGACAGAGAAGGTAGTGGAGAGAGGTGGCTGTAAGAAGATCAAGATCTCTATGTTTTACCACTGCTTAAAACTGAAGCACAAATCTTGATGTCACAGTTTGCTGTTTGGGTTTTTTTTCAAATATCTATCAGAGGTTGTCTATGAGAAGATAATAGCTGGTTCATTAAATAACTGTAAGGATTAAAAAAGTTTCAGTTGTTATTAATTCCAAACATCATGAATCCTACATTTCAGCAAAGCCAAATCACCTGAGTGGAATTGTAATCTATCAGTTTAATTCAAGATACTGAAAAGGTTTTGACTATAATGCCCTATCTCAGGATGATTTCCAAACATTTACCTTTCCCTGCAGTTTTCCAGACTGACCTAACCTTCCAGATTTTTCTAGTACATCTATATAGGTATGGTCTTCTCTTTCCCACAAAGCCCCATAGTGCTCACTACATTCTTTTGGTTCAGCACAGCTCTCATCAGCAGTCAAACTACTCTGTCTTGATTTAAGGAGTACCAAAAAAATCAAGCTTTTAGGTGTGACTTTTTGCCTGCATGCACGACACCAGGTACTCCATTTACAGTCTGCAGCCCTGGTCACCACGGCCAGCCAGGTCACAACCTCATCACTCACAAGCTTAACAAGTCCATAATAGTTTCACAGTACAGCTAATTCCACTCAAACTGCCAAAGACAGCTCCAAGGTCATGTCCTCAATCATACAACTGCTTTACTTAAGATGAGCCCTTCAAACAGTACTGAAGATTCTTCTTTCAGAACTCAAAAAGCCGTATCTTTTCCAAACAGACTATGTTTATCCACATTTGTGCAAATAAATATTATGCAGCACAAAAGGCAAAGAGCTTCTGAACAACCTTGAGAAACAACTTTCCTTTTGCAAACTACTAGGCCACTACTTTGTGAATTCATAAGATCACAGTTATAGTGCTAAAGGGATTGAAAGACATTACTCTTTCCTCACTTCTTCAGGAAGCACTGTGATTTTTTACCAGACAGAGCTGTGTTCTGGGTGCTTAAGACAAATAGTTCCCTGGGATAATTTAATCCTTTTCCAGTATTCACCAGTTCACCTTTCTGCCCTACTTAACAAAACAAAGGACACAAGGAATAGGTTTAAGCTCCATTCTAAAAATACAAAGACATATCCAGAAAGCTAATGTATTTACTCACAATTGAATTACAAGCATTTCAGACTTCTCTTTCATAAGCACAAAGGTTTACCACAGAAAATAAGGGCTGATTAGTCCTTGGGAGATGGCTCATCAAGCTTTTCTCCCCCACTGAATACTTGTTGCAGCTTACAATCATGTAACAATAATACTACAAATTAATATTAGAAGTTGAAAATAGAGCTAAAGAAATGATGGTACTACAAGTTGTAAGGAAGACAAATTCACAAGCTGAGTAGCCAGCTCAACTCACTTTCCTGACTCCAAACTGATCTGCAGATACAATTTCATAAACAAGAAGGTACAGTTTATGGGAGGTAAAGAAGATGGTGGCAGGTAAACAAAGTGTCAAGTCTCAACCTTGAAAAGGCTGGCATCTTCTAAAAGATGGAGAACAAATTTCCAATTTATTATCATATGGCACAGAGGTCACAGCACCACGAGGGTCAGCAGCAGCTTAGAAGTGACAATAAAACCTACCATACCTATGGGATTTTTTCGCTACATCTCTGCTGTACAGTCACTTTTAGGTAACTCAGGCCAAATACTTGTCTTCCTTTAACCCTGCATGCACACACCCACCCAGGCCATTTCAAGAAATTAAAATAAATTAGCAAAACAACAGCAATTTTGATTTTAAATACAGGTATATTGACAGGAGAAAATATTTAAAGCAATGCCATTATTGTGAAAATATTACCTGCATTTAAACATCTGACTTGTAGCAAAAGTAGGGAAGAAAAATATGCATATATCAATAAAGAAACCACTTGATTATTAAATGTGAGGGAATTCTGAAAAAAAGATTAGTACTTCCCATCACACTAAAAAAACCCATCACTTAAAGAAGAGTTTAAAGTCTAAAACTATTAAGGGCTATAAAGACTGCCTGTAATATTTGGAGTTAAATGTGACTATTTATTTTCAAGACTCCTTCCTCTTTAGAAATGCTGTATATTTATAATTTTGTGAAGCAGATACATTCCATACCAAGAGATAAGGTATTTAATTATTGTATATTAACTCCACATGTGTGAGTTGCTTCATGACATAATTTCAAAATAGCCAGTTTTACTGTTGTCATCTAGTATCTGAAACAACCAACTACAAAAACTAATTCACAGCAAAACCAAACAAATTAATTCGCACGGGAACAGCTGTAAAGAGAGAAAAAAGTAAAAAACAAATACTCAAAAAGACATGTGAGTCATAAAGTTGTTGATAAACGCTGTAATAAATAATAAAGCATCAATAAGTAGATCAACTCCAAGGGAGATTCCACACATGGCTCAAAAGCTGAACAACAATGGTTTCTGAAAAGTACACAGAAATGTGCAATACTCACTGGACTTTTGTAACAATATAAACTATATTTATTCAAGTTTCATTCAAACTTTTTTTACAAATAGGAACATTCTCAATTAACATGTTAGAGATTCCATTATACTTAGTTGTGCATTTCTTATTTCTAAATCACAACTTCTTAACAGAGAAAATAGTCATGTAAATTGCTGAAAAATTCTGATTTGAATTCTCATTTCCTGACTACTGCCATGCATTTAATAGCAAGTATTTTTCATGTGGATTTATAGTGATGTTTTCACATAATTTTAAATTAAAATTATGCATTAGGTCTTTATGACTCAAGTATTAACGCTTCTACTGAAGTATGGTGCTCAGTAAACATCAAAGTTTAGAATACTATAAATCAATAGTGACACATAAACTACATTATATGCAGATTTCAATATAATCTGAATTCTCTGTTGCTAAAGTAGTTTCATTTTACATTTAAGTATCTCATTTTAAGGGACTTAATCAAACATGATGAAAATGATCCAAGGTATATTTCCTTGTAATGCAATCAGATGTGCTCATCAGTAACTTCTTACCTTCATGCTTATATGTCATTTCTTGGCAGCCAGAAAAATACAGGCACACCAAAGCACAGAGGCAGAGAAAAAAAGAAAAATATAAAACAAGAAAGATGAACTCCATCACACCAGTGTGCAGACTTTCCACTACTGCAAACACAGTTCATTTATTAAAGTTTAAAAAAAGGCAAAATCCGTAGAGTCCTGCAGCTACCAAATAAGCTGGGTAAACGTCTTACTTTCAAATTAATGACTCTATCCATCATCCATTCCACATGTCAAAAATAAACAAAATATTAAAAATACTGCTTCTGAAGTTTCCTGGTTATTTAACAACAAGAACTGAAAAATAAAAATCTTTAAAAAGCACCTTGGAAAAAATCAGGTAACTGACTATATAGAGTCACTACTTCTCTCCTCTAAAGACCTTGCAAGCACAGAGGTTATAAAGATCATCCCACTTTGCTGCTTCTTTCCTCAGGGAGCCCAAACCAGTTGCTGGCATCATTCCATTGACTCCCCTATGCTCCTTGGGAATTAAAAGAATACTCAGTGAGAGCTAGAGTAGCAACAGTAACCTAGTGCGCCTACAGAGCTCCAGAAATAACACTGATATCTAATTGCAAAGCCAAAAAATACAACATTTTCAAAAGCTTCTCAGCTGAACTGATGTTCAGGGCTGTAAAGGCTACTGGCAGGTCATTCACACAAGATGTCTCAAAGATGGAGAAAGGCATTCCAAGGATTCTGTTCCAGATAAGACAAACAACTGCCAGGAAAATACTCATTAGAAAACAAACCACAGTCTCATTAGAGAACCACAGACTCATTAGAAAACAACCACGGGGACTCTCTGCAGTCAGACCATCCCAGGAATGAAGGAAGCTGGAGTCTAAAAGCACCCATTTAAGAAAATCTGCAACAGATGAGTGTACATCTTCACCCTGTGCACCAAGTTCCTGGTTATTAGAACAAAAAAGGAATCATTCTATATCTTCCAGAATGAGCTTATCTGACCACTTTCATGAAATCTCATTCTCATGTGTTATTTCCTCCCTCACTTTGTCACAAGGAATGGGATACATTTGGAAATAGATACAACCCCACCAGTCAAACTTGTTAACTAACTGTGTTAATGCTAATTTTACATTTAACAAATCTTAGACAAGCAAAGGCAAAGACTTAGATCAGCAATTTCTTTTTCTGAATGTTTGGTTATGACAGGTTAACACATACTTTCACTACTATTCCATACAGGTTATATCATCTGTATGAGATGAAAATCTTGCACAGATAATAGCCAGACATACACTTATGCTGTGCATGTCTATACAAAAAACAACTCATCTTAGTTGTCTTCATAGGCTGTGGAGAAAAACAGGCAATTTTAGGACAAAACTCGTATGCCCTATTTAGATATCTACTTCCAACCACTTAATGTTGCCCCTTTGTCCAGAGCAAGATGTCTGTATCTCATGTCCATTACTGACATCTAACCAACATTTGCAACACTCAGTTAAATAAATTCTACAATTTTCTGGGATCCTGATACAAGCTGTAAAAACAGAGATGATGAAGATGGTAAAATCCCAACTCATCTGAATAAGCACACAGCCACTACTTTGCACATAAATTGTTTAAGTTAAAAACTGTTGGAAAACTGGGAAACACAGGTACCTTTGAGGATTTTGATCCTCACAGGACCACACAGGTGGCCTGGAAGGAAATAAGCCCATATGCCAGGACTGGATTTTAGAAGTTAACTCCAACTATGGTTAAACTGCGAGTCAGCACTGCATATAAATGTGAATATTCTACAGGTTTATCCACTGGCAGGTAATGACACACTAGTATTATTGATTACTTCTTTCACTGCTTAAGGAATAAGCTCATTTAGAAAGTTTAAATACAACTATATATAAACTATATATTAACTCTATTAACTAGTGTCTATATATGGTGTAACTACTACAGTACATATAATCCCATTCAATTTTCTCTTACAACTCTCTCCTTTTTCACAGTTTATGCTTTATAGTCCTGCTTTTCCTTTCAGGAGATAGCATCACATAGAATTTCAAATGGTAACTACAGCCATTGAAGAGCTAATGGACAGGGGATGGAATAATCTGTAGCAGACATTGCCCATTCTCTCCAATCCTCATGTTTTTCAACTCCTGCTTTGGTTGATAAGGAAAAGAAGAAGGGACCACAAAAGCTTCAGGTTCCTCAAGACAAAATTCAAAGGAAAGGTACAGAGACTACATCAGCTGAAGTTCTACTAACACAGAGCATTTTCAAGAAATAAATGCATATTTATTGAAGTTTTCAGCCTACAGAAATTCTCATCACCAGTTACCAACACCTAAAAATGGACTTAACTAGTTTTGTTTCACTATTTCACAATTTAGAAAATGACCTTACACATTTTATTTACAGACAGATAAAGGCTAATATATTAGAGAGAACTATAAAAAGTACAGTGTAAGTTACATACATATATATATTTACGATTGCATTCAGTTTTTAAAATCAGCTTCAAAACACAAATTTCCAGTTATACTACATCAAGAAAGAACAGTTTACACTTGCTATAAATATATTTGGCAGGATCTATTGTTACTTCTGATTTTTTTCTTTTTTCCTATGTAAAAGGCACATCATTATTAGAAACAGAATTTGAAGAAATTACCAGAGAAATAGAGTCCCAAAGGACAAATTTTTCAGAATATAGGCATTAGAGTGCAGAGCAATAAAAATGTACCACCTGGGGGTTACCAGGAATAGACTATGCAGAACACACTGGCACAAGGCACCCATTTATGACAGAATATATCTTAAGCTATCATATAGATGCTAATGATATCTCCACTCTTCATTTCCATTTTTTCCCTCTTACTCTATTTCCCACCTCCCACACACATGCCCCAGGCTGCTAATGTTTAACTTCACAAAAAACATTATTCAGCAAATTACTTTAAGCACGTTACAAGGAACTTTACGGGTACTTTCTGTAGCAAAACTTTTCTGATTTTATAATCCGAATTTTTGTCATGAACTTTGTATTCTAGAGCAGAAAAGTTATTAGAGCATAACAACTGGAATTGTCTTACTACTTATATATCACATACAGAAATATTATTTCAGCAACATTGAAATTATATAAACATGAATTACTCTTTAAATGTGATTTAGCTCTGTGTTGGTACAAATAGTTTAAAGGGGGTACGTTCTTAAAAACAGACTGAATATTTGTCTTTTGTAATTGTATTTGTTTCAAGCCACTAAGTCATTATGCCTCAAGCCACTTGAATATTTAGGTTACAGTGGCTGAAAGTGTAATTTTATTGTTTATTTAAAACAAACCCCAAAACAACATCACTTGTGTGAAGAAACTTTTGAATTACCCTAAAAAATGAAGCACTCACCAGAGTAAGCAGAAGAATTATATGGATTTTTCTCATTAAGCAGAGCTTTAAATTCAGGCAGTATTTGAAAGAGGTGTTGTTCACAGCAACAGAAATGCATGAAAAACCGAAGGTTTGCTCACCTTTGGAGGCTTCAGACTTTTCCTCCTCTGTTTTTTAGACCGCAATAACCGTTCTCTTTCCTAGAAGGAAAGAGAACATTTTGGTATGGGTTTGTTTTAAAACTATACTTAGATATGTCTAACACAGAGAAATATCATTAACATTTTCTTTAAGCCTCTGGTAAAGCTAACGCGATGTCTTTATCCTTTTGAATAACACCATGTTACACCACACTGTACTGCAGCTTCATGCCTTTAGCAAACAAACCTTCAGCCATGTACTTCACGCATTTGATGGGAAGTTGGCAAGAAAAGGCTTTGTTAAATACTGAGTACAGATTTCTGACAGTTCTTCTGACTCTTTTACCAAGAAGCTCACTATGGAAACAGAATTCAGAGTGTCACTCCAGCGTTCGACCATCCTGAAGAAACAGGTCGGCAGCCAAAAATTAGTCCAGTCTTAGTAATTAAAAGTCATTATATCAGACATATTCTGAAACAGTGTTACATCTGACTTATCCTTGTTGGGCAAAAGTCTCAAATCCAAAGGCACTCTCAAGTCTGTCAACTTAGCCGCTGTCTTTTTTTCTACTCCGGCTTTGGTGTAAGATCACAATAAACTATGCCATAACATGAGGAGGTCATGACTGGAAATGCAAGATTTATGTTCATCTAAATCCAAGAATACTGCCTTAAATTCCCAAGGAGAAGAGAAGGAAGAGAAGGTAAAAAAAAGCAAAGGAGCAAGCAAAAAAAAAACCCAACACAGGAGGCAGGTGCTCTGTCTTCTTGCTTTTTTCTGATTCTTTCCTTAGCTCTGTATCTTTGTTTGCAGCACCTCTATTTTTAAAAGACAGATTGCAGTTCCAAGTGCTTCTTTAGCAGTTATTGCTCACTGCATGGTATTATTCTACTCAGTTATTTGTTTTGCTTTCAGTTCAGAAACTGGAATAATAGGAAGCTCACAGTAGAAATCACAATAAAATTATTTATCAGCACATTGTTCCAGGAAATAAGTTTTGGAAAATGCAAAATAACTGAGAGAAGTACAACAACTTACACAGCACCTTGAATACATGTGGGTTGAAAAATAAGGAAAGTAATGACTGCCAAGGTACAATGGTGCAGGTACTTCAAGCTGCAGAATAATGTAATATTTTCAGCTTAGAAAAACAGACAGTTGAATTTCACACTGTTAAATAAGAATGCTGTCTTCTCAGATCCTCACTTAAGGCACAGTTCCAGCTTTAAGTGGGGTATTCTGCCTCCCAGGCAGGTGTCCAAACAAATGCAGTGCAGAATGAACAAACACTTCCAAAATCCCAGTCCTTCCTGTTTCTAATCTTGTTTGTAAGAAGACTGCTTAATTTACTGCCTCAATATAAACTGAGCTACTAGAACAATAATAATTCCAATTAAAAGTATCTTTTGCAGTCATTTGAGTTTACCTTGACAGCTTTCTTTTTAAGATTTGACCAAAACACCACTGTTGTGAGAGAAGTCATCTTGACAAGCTTTCAACAGCATCAAAGATACCCTACAGATGACGCTGTTAATCAGTTCAGACAACCCTACTGCCTAAGACTAATGTTCTTATTTCCGTGTATCATACTGGTCTCAGCTGGAGTTAAGCTGATGATTTTTATATTAACCAGATATGGGACATTTGGGCCATTCTTTGTAACTATGATACATTTTCAGTCTGTAGAGTAGAGGTGTGGTTTGGGCCAGAAAAGAGAGCTCAAAAGCAACAGTGCGCAGAATTCCACTGCATTCACATCAAAGGCAAAGGCTCAATTAGTTTGTACTGGAACCAAAGTTTCCTAGTCAAAAAAATTGATTAATTTCTGCAAGTGGAATAGTATCTGTAAATAGGAAACAAAGCAAAAATGAAACAGTATTTTAAAATATTTATTTATTTTACTTTCACACTAAACACAAGTTAGTATTATTTGACCAAAGTCAGGATACAATATATTTCCTCATATCACTATCTGAAACAGTAAAAGAGAGTCCTTTCACACCCACTTTGGACTGAAATATAAGTGAGGTTGTATCTGCCATATCCAGCACATCTAATGTCATATCACCATCCCTGTCTACACAGTTTTATCTGGAAGCTAAAGCAGCATCGCTCTGTGGACCAGACCCTACATCATAGCATCTGAGTAACATCCTACTGCTTGTGACACTGCACAGAGATATTGAACTTTGGCACTGATTTCAGAGAAAAATCCTGGGTCAAAATCTCAGAGGAACTGCCAGGAACTGAGACAATGCTCCACATAGCACCATGACACACCTTCTTGTTTTTCCTTTTTGGTGCTTCTATTTTTATTTTCAATGATGTGTCCAATTGTTTCATTTTCTATTTAGACAGAAGGCTCTTAAATTCTTTTTATCATTTTGTAGCAGTCAGTAGTGCCACTTGAGATGTCTGAGTCTGCCTGAGCTCCAGATGCTGCTCCAGAATGGCAAGGGCTCTCAGAAATTATGTGTAATTTCTGCCAGCACCAGGAAGGTTTATCACAAATTGCACTGAACAGCACTAGACACCTCTAACACAACTTGAAAGATTCCTCATCAAACACAACTTGAAGGGTTCCTGATCAAACACTGCGAACATCTATGAGCATCACCTTCAGAAGCCTTCAGAGTCAGAGGGCAGCAGCTGTGCAATTCTAATCCTAAAACATGCTGCTACCTTTGGTTTGATGAACCACACAGAGTTCTCCCCATCTGTATTAAATACAGCTTGTACGGCCAGCTCAGCTAGAGATGCTTAGCCAGGGGAAATTAACACCAGCAGGTTTCTTTCTTTAGGAGAATTTCTAGATCAGGGGAGTGCTTGGGTTTGCATCCAACACATTTTAGTCATTAAGTTTTGGAAAGTCTCCTTTACTTAAGTTCCTCATTTGTTGACAGCCAGTTTTGCAAGTAATGTCAGTGGGCTGATGATGCACCTTTCTTCACAAGCAGCTCATAATAGGTAAATATTTTTAATACAAAGATTCATACACATTCCAAAAAATTTCATTCGCTACCTGAGAAAAAAAAACAACCCTTTGACACCAAAGAACTATTTCTGTATCACTACTACAACTGGAGTTAAAACATTCCTCTCAAACAGTTAGCTTGCCTATAGATGTGTGTGCATGCACATGTGTATACCAGTCATAAACATTACCACTGTGAGATCATCAATAACATGCTGTTGTTCTTTGACTTGCAGTCTAAGGAATTCAATTTCTTGTTCCTCTCGTGTGCTGCTGAGATCATTCAGAGATGTGTGCCTCTTCAGTGCTGGTTGTGCAGATAACTTTTCTTTCTACAGAAACAGAAAACATAAAGAATGTTTTGAAGTGTCTTGTTGCAACAGGAGAAAAATTCTCATGTGTGATGTAACAACCAAGAATTATTTGAACCCATCAGTGCATACTCCACCAAAACACAAGGCCTCTTTCAAAAATAAACACCTCACATGCTATATGCCTCTGTGTTAATCTTTCACATAAGATATTCTAAAACAGAATCAAAGAACAGTCTGGGAAAAAAATTAGCAGACAAGTGAACTCAGTGATCTAGCATAGTGCATGCACTCAAATTCAGCTCTAACCTCTAATCATAAAGGCAGTATTTATTAAAGCCGATTTTTAGTCATAGCTTTTTACAGCCTGCAAAAACGTTTTATCTATCTGTGCTCCTTTCCCTTAATCAGTGTGAATTGATACAACACAAAGCACATGCCACTCTGAATTAAGAATATGAGTATTCAGCTGTATTGTCTGGATTTGACAGTTGCACCATCCCACCGTGGAGACTGATGTGTTTGTGTTGGAATAAAAGCCTCACACACACTTCCACCTCAAAGTGACTGTGTGCAATGTGGTCTCATAACATGACGTCGGAGATGATTACTTACCAGAGATGGTTACTTACCAGTTCTACATTTTCCCTTGATAAATTTTTTATTTTCTCTTCCATTCTCTGGATACATTGTAACATGTCATCATTTTTTTTGCTCATCCTCTTATTTTTTTCTACCAAAGGCTTCAGCTGACTTTCTGTCTCCCGAGAACGTTTCAGCTGCAAATGGCAAAGGAACAAAGTTAGCTGTTAGTTTAGCTCTGAAGGAAAAAAAAACCAGGTGTGTTTTCACTTGCCTTTCTTAATTCAGAAAGTTTAGCTCTTCTGCTAAATGGCATCCAACATAAACCATCACACTGAACTAAGAGCTACAGCAGTCCAAGCAAGTAAGATGTAACATTTCTGTATTGTCCGCCAAAACACTAAATCTGATCACTGGGTTTTGCTCTTGGCAAACACTTAAACATATCCATAGTGATTTCCTTATAAACTAATCTCAATATATATAAGCTTCTTGTAACCAACTAGGTCTCTAGACAAGTTGTTTTCACCAATTTAGCTATCCCTTAAGAGGAGGACACTTTTCCTCCTCTATTTTAAAAAATCCTTTACCTAATGCATAATTAGAGAAATGATAAAGTCAGCCAGAGGGCACAGATTCAATCTCAGCATTCTGCTGACATTTTCAAGCTGCTCAATTTTGCTCCTGTGGTTTTATGATGTTACACAATTATGTGAAGCAAATTACTGCTCTTCCTTGCAGTGTGTATTCAATATTTCACTGTTTTCACTCCATGAGCTGTTTTGTTTGGAAAAAAATACCTATTTTTCTCAGTCAAAAGATTTTAAATTTGCTGAGTTTTATGTGGAAAGGAGAAAGAGATAATATTTTTTTCCTGAGATAAACTCACTGAGTATTTGGTTTTCTGTTTCATTCTTGAGAAAATTACTTTTCACCGTGCTCAATCACATGGCCTTACTGATACTACTGATGTTATGTGTACTACTGTTTCATAATATAAAACCTGCTCTAGATCTCTTTCAAAATACACTTCTCATGCCACTGAACCTAGAACCAAGAAGAGCACTTCTTCAGTGAAGTCATACATGCCCTCCATCTAGAGGGACACTGAAGGATACATTACAATTCTTCAGGGATATTTTGAATTATTTAGGCCTACAGAAAGGATTAATAAGGAGGAAGATGTCCATGTTTCACAAAGACATCAATGTTTCACTCATCTATAGGGCTGAAACACAGCACCACTTCAGCCCTCAGCATAATTTTAGAATCAGATACATAGGTTCCATCTTTTAAAATGAAAAATATTTTATACTGCTACTAAAATTAGACCATTAAAAGACATGTGTAAAAATTCCTGTTGTGAAACTCACCTCCCATTGCAGTCCATGGGAGTTTTACCACTAACCTCAGTACAAGCAATTAAGTAGTGATAAAGGCTAATAAAATTCATTCTTAAAATTCATGTCATATCCTTTCTTGTGTAAGTTACTATCCCTCTCCTAGGATAATTTCACCTACTTAAGAGACTTCCCTTGAGAAATGGCAGATTTTTCATCACTAGCACAAAAAAGCTTTTTTAACTCCTAGCTAGCACAAGCATGTCACAAAAACAAAGTTCAGAAGGATGAATACAGCAATTTAAGTGCATGGATTATGCATGTTTTACACATCATTACACTGTGCTACAGGCAATATCCTAGTTAATTTGATTACTATGACCCCAAAGTAAATTTGTGAATTTTTACTTTTGGGGAACAGGAAAGATTCCACCCATGTGTTCTATGGTCAGAAGATTAATTTCTATAGAAATCTCTGTTACATTTAGATATAATTGACTGAGGCCAACCAGGACTAATTTGTAAATTATTTATAACACTGACTTTCCAGCATTCAATCTTTTGCCATAAAGATGCCCTCCCAGTCACCATCTGTGTTATTACTAATTAATTTACCAGTTCATTTCTTTCATCTGCTAGGAGAGTATTTCTGTCTTCCAGCTTTCTTATTACAGCATTCAGTTCAGCGATTTTTAACTGGAATCTCCGCACATCTCGTTCATCCAGATGCTGCTCCTTTACATTAAAAACATACAGATTTCTAAAATTACTTTTTGTAAAACGTACTTACTGTACAAACTTACTGTATACAGTTTAATATCATGGCTTAGCAAGTGTATTGTGTAAATTTAGAACATACTCTTACATCAGTGTCTGAAAAACTTACTATAATTAACTGAAACACTAAATAATAACATCCTGGAAAATGCTTCATGAACAGCGTCTTCTGAAACAATCAGAAAAGCAACTAGCTAGGTAAATATTTCATATATATCAAGTGACTTCTCACCAGATTTTTTTACTCTCAGCTAAAATAGTTCTAGTGTAAAGGACATCGACTGAAAGCACATGGCTCAGTATTTGAGAAGTATAGTACCTATTTTTAATGGTTAAAATATTCCTAAAGTAATGAAATAGTGAGAAAATACTGAGGTTCACAGTTCAAGATCACAGTGTAAATTCTAGAAGTTCTATATCCACAAATTTCTCAATATTCTTTGCAATTTAAGAGGTCCAAGAAGTTTTTAAATCTTCAGTAAAACAGCACAGTGCAGCACGAGGCCATTTACCATTAACTGGTCTTAGTAGTAATCACAAAACCCATGTAAACACCCAGGCAGTTATCCAGAGCTGGACTTCAGCTTCAGAAAACACCATCTTCTTACCGGACTTCCCATCAGTTCGCTGATATCTCCTACTCCTGCAGGAAGCTCCCTCTTAGGACTGCTGTGGTATCGCTCTGCCTCCTTCACTTGGACAAGCTGTTCATCCAAAGCTTCTTTCTGAAGGAGCAGTTTCTGTGTATGGCCTGCCTGGACACCAAGGTCCTTCTCCAGAGCCAGAATCACCCTGTCTTTGCCTTTTATCTCGTCCATCTGTTAAAGAAATAATGCATGAATGAAGTTTCTGTAACATCCCCAAGTGCTCACTGCATGAAAATACACAAATTTTCAAAAACAAAGTTCTGTGTCTTTCAGAACTGCACCAGCACTGAAACTGTGGCTGCCAAAAAGAAAATGTATCTCCTTTGTAGTCTTTTTCTCTATCCTCAAAAAAGGTTCAGCCTTCACTTGATGAAGAGTTTTCTTGGTCCAAACAAACAAAACCAGATGCAAACATACAGTGAAACAGAATACATAGACACTGAAAACATCCACTTCATCTGAGGATACACACTTCTATATGGAGAAGAAAAATCTGCCTTCACTTTGTTTCAGTGAAGAAACACAACTAGTACAACATAAGACAAACACACCCTTTAAAACTCACCTGGGCTTTGTTTCAAAACTTGAGCCACACACATTTGCCCCATGTTGACTCCCTCTTTATTAGTGAATATCACGTGTGGTGAATCTCTTCACAGACATTTAAAATTAGTAGTATATACATGCACAATATTTAAACTTAAAATCTTAAGCATACCTATGTATTTTATGTGCCCTTGTTGTAAGATTTGAATGAGAACTAGTCTTTGTGTTGAAGGAAAAAAGTAAGTGCACAGAGACCATTAGAATAAAGGGCAGGAAGAAACAGTTCTTAAACACCCTCTCTGGTTACTGAACTGTGTGTTCACACATCTCCATACCAAATAAAGCACATTGCTCACACTGATCTACTGCAGCTCTCATAGGATTTGTCCCTCACAGCATCAGTGTTAAATTCATTTTGGTACTATTCCAAATGCCAGAGGAAGTGACAATCTGCAGCAGTTACTATAGAAACAGATTTCTTAACAAGAACGTTAACCATTAACAATATATTGGAACTGTTCTGTATCTCCTCCAGTTTACAAAACTGTTTTCCTGGCCAACACAAATGCATGGAATTTTGTAGGTAAGAGTATTATAATCTTATTTGAAAAATAAATGAACTGGTTAAATCACATGTTTGTTGTTTATTATAGTTCTACATCCATAGAAGTCCTTTATGTCAAGTTACACCAAAAGAAAAAATAAGGAAAAGAAAAAAAAGACATACCAGAAGTAATTTATAGTTCATTCAAAGTGATTTACAGGATTAACACAATGAGATTACATGATCAGATGCAATTTGCTTCTTCAGGATTCTTGTCTTAATCCTCTCATAGCCTACAAAGCACGTGAAATTAGTTTGTGTACAGAACCTGACTGGCAGGAGATGGCTTGGCTGAACCATGATCAAAGATAAAAAGGTCAGATTTGAAGTGAATAAGCTGGTCTAGACTAGTCTGAAATTCTAACTGGAACTGACAAATACTGGTTCTGATGGAGATTTCTTCTCTGATTTTGAAAAGTTGCTGTGTCCCAACTCCTTATACAGTAAATTAAAAAAATACTTCCCAGTATGTCAGCTTGCATTTGTGAGAATTCCAAGTATGCCAAAAAAGGCCTTGCAGGAAAAGAATGCAGTTTTTATTAATGGAAGTATTTGCAACGTGCAGGATTTCAGAGGGACGGTGCAGTGAACAACAATGACAAAAATTAAGCAGCTGCCTCATTTACTGAATGCTGTCTGTCAGGCACACTGATCTATCAGGGAGCCCTTGGGAGGAAAAAATGTCATGTAACTAAATACTGTGGACAGTTTTGCTTTCAATTACACAGGTGTTCACACTGAACATCCACGTAATTGACACAGGAATTTGCCCAGGCAGGAACACATTCAGTAAGACCCAAACTTACATACACAGCCCTAATTCAAGGTACTCAATTAGTAGCATATTTTGTACTCTTCTTGTTCTCACAGCTTAATGGCAAATGCAATGACATAGGCTTTAAGTTGGAAGAAAAAAGGAAAGCAACAATATTGGTATGTCTGCTACTTGAACTGACGCAGAACTGATCCTTTGGAACAGATGTGACCAGTGCAGTCACACCCATGTCACCCTCCTCTCATGCTTCCACTGATCAAAGCACACAAGCTCACACAAATTAGAAAGAAATGCCACGAAAGAGCATGGCTTTGAGGTGAGGGTTAAGGGAAACCATAATTCTCCTCAGCTTTTCCTACTACTCTTTTTCCTACCACAAAAATCTACATGTGGTGAATTTTTCAGAAAACAACAACTGTCCCATGTTTAAGTCAAGCATAAAAGTCTTTGAAAGACTGATATAATAAAATAGCAATGACTGCAGATCCTGTTTTTATTTTGGGTTTCCATTTTAAGTTACAGGTATGCACTAGAGAACCTCTTACGTAAACGTGCACACACACACAAATATACAGAACACTGCAATAGCACTTGGTTTTTATCTGCACAGACCACCAGAACAAAGAATTTCTAAGCAACTAACTTACCACAAATTGGTAAAGATGATCAGAACTGCACCAAGAATGCCTCCAAATTGTGCATCAGAAGCATAGGGGTCAGTATAATTGTGCTCTCTTCAAGGGGATGATTGCACCCTTTATTCATTCAGTGGAACTGCATCAACCTAGTTAATGTCTCAATTTTCCTACATTTGCTGCAATCTGATCCTAAGACTTACTATCTTTTTCAGCCTTGCCTGCTTTCTTAAGAGAGAGTACAAATTGGTCCAGAGTGGAAAAAAAGGAAAGTAATTATTTTACAGCAGTGCAACCTCTCTGAGTTCCATGTGGAAGAGAGGGTATGTCAGGGGCCCAGGAGGCAATGGAAGAGGAGTCACATAACTAGGAAAAAGAGAGATGGTTTAGGTTTAAAGTGAACATAAGCTGCCATACAAAAAACTTTAGTTTAGCCTAGTATTATATATTCTCATAGTTGTAAAAGCTCAGACAAAGTCTCCATGTCAGTTCTGTTCCACTGGAGAACCACTGGAGCCACAGTTTGTTACATGAAGGAAAAAAAAGTTGGCAGCATAAAGGCCAGCCAACTGATGTAATTAGATATGGATTAGGTATGTATTTTAGACATAGGTATTATGATCTCTATTTTAGTGGGGAGAAGCCTATCTGCATATCTTCCATTAGGCAAATGAAAATCAAAATGGATTAATCCAGCTTCCCTGTTGCTTGCTATTTTAATCTCGCACATGTTGTGGAAGCAGCAATGTTGTAGCCAAGACTGTCTAAGAATCTACATGGCCTTGGAGAGTCGGAGTATTTTTTATTAGACTAAGTGACAGAGTAAGAATGATAAGAAAGCTTTCAGGAACAGAAGCCCTTCAGCAGATTGGATTAAGAAGTGTTTTCATGTTTTCTACCATGGCACTGTACTTGAAGGACCAGCATGTGACAACTGGAACCTGTGTGCACCAACTCCCACCACTGCTTCCACGGATTCTTGCCTGCTCTGAAACTCATTTGAGACCTCTCAACAAGATACAGAGAATAGATACCATCTTTTCTTCCAACAAATTTAGCACAAATTTTAATCCCAATCATGCATTGGGATCACACATATTGTATAAATCAAATGCATAATCACAGAAATTCCTTCCAAGTGTTGTTTAGGTTTCAAATTTGTTCTCTGTTTAAAACAAATTTACCCACTTTCTGCAGCTACCAAGGAAAACAGGGTCACATGAACTCTTTTATATTATCTTTTGCATGGATTTTAAAGTACTTTAGAACACTGCTTATTTTTCTTTATGCATTTAAGGGTGGTACAAGACAGTACAAAAAGTCTGTGGTAGGAAGGCAGTGGAGCAACATGAGGTTAGAAGGTATTCTCAATTATAGGCCTTGAGAAGAAAAGTAGCAGAAATACCCTCTAAAAGAGGATTTAAAGAAAATAAGATAATTCACAAACAGCTGCAGGGGCAAATTACTGAGAAATCACCTTTAGCAGCATAAGTAACTCTTGGTTAAAATTAGAGCTTCTTAAATATGATTTTTTCAGGGGTTTGTGCTGCCAAATGTTAGATGCTGAACAGAGACACTAACCTGCATTGTGTCAAGGAAGAGCTAGCACTTACAGCCTGTGTCAACATTACCCAGGTTCCTGAGAACATGTATCTAACTGCCCCCTTACAGCTATGAGAAATGAGCAGAAATGAGTCTTTTAATAATATTTATCAAACATGAAAAAGAACCAAGCCAGTCATTAGAAAAAGCATCCTCTGCCAATTATGCCACACTTCAATGGCTACAGTGAAAGAAAATCAGAGACCTTTGGGGGAACTTTAGTCTCTCATGAAGTTGAAAGAGAAATTCCCAGGGAATTAAAAGCCACATCTATCAAGGCAGTGACACATTCAGTTTCCAAAGTGGAAAAAGCCAGCTGCTGCATTGCCAAGTGTAAGACCTTCCTTTTTACCCATCCTTGTCAAAGTTATCTCCTAGCCAACTGCAGAACAAAATTCTACAGTGCTCTTCTCCAGCAGAAATTTAATTAACCTATAAACTAAGTGCCTGACACTGAAAATAGAGCTATCATGACAGAGGGATTGCTGGTTACTATGAAGAACAAAAAAAAGATGCTACTTAAAAAAAACCAAAAAAAACCAAAAAAAAAAAAACAGGTAAAGATTGAACCAAAAATAATTAACATCTTTTACATTTATAAAGGGGCACTAAGACCTAGCAACAATATCCCAAGCTAAAAGCTTGTGTGGAGAAAAGAATTACAATATTCCAGAGTTGTATACAGTATTCCCTACAACAGGCACAGTCAGCTATTTAAATAAATGTTTCCTGACTATTTGGGAAACTTAGGGGGGAAAAGAACAAGAGATGCCAACCATTCAGTGCAGTAATAAGGGCCACAGACAGAAGTGGATAGGATTTAGTCTTAATTTCATGTGTAATTTTTCTAAACCAACAGTCAATAGTTACCTCCAGTAGCTTTTCCCACATATTTTTCTTAAGTGTGGAAATTTCATTAGAAGTTTTGATAAATTATCACTGATATATTAGGAAACACCACATGGGCAGAAAATTCCAGAACTTACTGATAAGAAGTTTCTCATGTCTC